CGGAGCTGCACCCACTAGCAGGTGCGATACCTGCTACAGCAGGTGGGCGATACCGGCCAGGGGTCAGGCGGTAGCATCAGGACGGACCTTCTTCGATGTGCCAGTCACTGTGCCTCCCCTCCGGTCCCCTCCCCCTATGAACATCAGCAGTCTCTGCTCAATGCCACTCGGGGGGACCGAGGGCATATCTCTAGGTGGCGGGCAAACTATCCGCTACAGTGCCAACAAAGCCCTGAGTGACATCTGCAGCAATGTCTTGCGCGACGTTTAACACTTGAGATTCGCGGAACACAGATGAGAACATTGACTATGACACCGATGATGTGCTTTCTTTAGATGACGACCTCGGTACACCGTACGCCTCGGACACAGAATATCGCACGCAAGCATCTAAATTGGGCAAACGCAGAAGCATGCCTGCGGACAATCCTCGCACCTCTTCCACCCCTGCACAAAACATGCATACACGCAAATCACCTGCTGCAGATGACAACCAAACAACGCAATCCCCTCGCACACAACAGCAACACACCTCTCCCAAGACGCTTCAACGCCCCCAAGCTCATCCTCTGGCACTAGCAGGTCATACAGACCACAGCCAGCCACCCAACAGACTGACCCAAGCAGATACTTATCTGCGTCCATACCCTGCGCAGCATGAACCTCACATGCACAGTCAGCAAATGCGAGCATCACCCAACACCCAACAGCACAGTCAACCCAACAGACTGACCCAAGCAGATAACATGAAACTGAATGGCAAGCAGCCGCTTTCAACCCCCAGCCCATCTCAGAATTACACCGACCACTGTCAACACCCCTGCTGGCTCAAGAATCAGCCTCTTCCAACCAGCCAACACAAGGATTCATCCACACCTCAGCCCGCAACAAACCCCCCCCGCCACCAGCCGTCACATGCTGCACCCGCGGAACAGAAGGTAGTTGCCTCAGTCAAAAATGGATACCGCGCCGGTGTCACCTTGGTGTATCATCGGTTGAATTGGTGGGGAACACCTGGCTGGACAAAGCTCGTACTGTCGAGCTTGATCATCAACTCAGTAACAAGTTTAACCGCTGGTCAGCTATTCTTGACTATGTAGGTAGACCACGTATGTTCAATAACCTGCTCTTCCGTCGTTTCTTTGATCAGGGAGTCGAGCCGACAGAACACATTTGGCGAGACTTCCTTCTTGCCAGGGGAACCATCGAACGTTCATTTCTTGAGTGCCCAGGCAAAGAGATTGCCGATAATGGCAATCTTGATGATGCCGAGTTCCTCATCGGGAGGATCCTCGAATCGGAGTACAACACCTCACCGTTGCACGTTCTCATCAGTGTCTGCCGTAAGTATAAGAACGCCTTGCTCGATGATTTAGTTCCATTTCAAATTTACAGGTACGCCAGACTTGAATTCCTGGCTGATCAGCGTCCTAAAGAACGCAGGGTTGATAACCCGTACCCCAGGGCATGCAGAAGGTCATGTCCGCTTGCCACATACACTCCGCAGAAACATTGGGTTTCTTCAGAATATGTGCGATGGCGGACAGAACAATTGGAAGCCAAGAAGGCTGCACCTGAGGGCACAAACAGCGACCACAGCACTGCATCACCAACACCGATGAACAAAGACCTCGCAACAGTTTCATCTCCGCCACTTGCTCCTCATCCTGTCCGACGCCGTCTCTTCTTGCCACCGACTCCGCCACCTTTTCTGCTTACCCCCATCAATACCCACGTCACCTCTTCCCTTCCTGCAACTGAAGCTCCTCTTCCGCTCTCCACAAACACTAACTGGCTGACACAATTGGAGGGGATTTATCCGCACAATGTTATTGAAACGCTCACGTCGATTGATTCCAATCACAGGTTGCAGCAGATAAGCGCGGTGCTGGCTACAAAGAATCAGAACAGCAACAAATGGACTGCACTCGAAGCCATGCTCTACGTCGACTACTATCGCCAAGGCCATGACGAAGTCACGACTTTTGAGGATTACAAGAGCGCTGCAGCATCCTACATTGCACTCCATGAGAAACTGCGCCGTTCCTCAGTTGTCAAAGCATTTCCGTAACATTGTCGTCAATGTCCATCATATTATGAATACATTCTGTGTGTACAACTGCCCACATTCGAGTTTGGGTGCATGCCAAGCTTGGCCGCATTTGGTTGGGTTCACCGACAATCTGCGCAACACCTGCAATGATGCAGGCATAGTGAACTGTACACGTTCTAAGAGCCGGCTACCTATATAGTACGAAAGAGCCATGCACAAGGCAACATGCACATCCAACCTACGGGTTGAATAAATGGGACATCAGTGCATCACAGAGGTAGACGATCAGAGTTGTTCAGACGTGCGCAGACTTTGACAGGGTG